TCCCTCGTAGTTCCCGCACCTGAGCTCTTAAGTGCCTACTCAGCATTCATACCTCCTAAGCTCACCTATGCTTCCCCTGCCTGGTCTTCCTCTTTAACTGCCACACAACGAGTACCACAAGAAAGAGTGAAGAAAAGGGCGTGCAAGATTATTCTCCTTCCCCTCCCTTCCCCTTCCCCTTCCCCTTCCCTCCCCTTCCCCTTCCCTTCCCCTCCTTCGCATATTGTGAGGCCCTCAGTACAATGACTCTCCGCTCCTTCCGATTATCACCATGACTTCATCTATAAGTTTTGGGAGAGATACTTCTGTACCATCCTCGACACCTTCTCCTTCTGCCACCTGAAGTCCCTCGTCTGCTAATTGCTGTTCGACACACACACACACACACACAGAACACACACACACACACACACACACACACACACACACACACACACCCTAATTCGACTGTAATGCACTTCAACACTCCCACCGTGTCATCATTACCATAACTAACTCTGTAATTTGCATAAAACTCACAGGTGGGACAGGTAGGAGATCCCAGGGTTAAGTTTCACCTTAGAGAGTAAATTAGTTTTAGTTTATGAGAGGTAGTTTGTGACAGGTGTGTGTGTGGTGATTAACTCAGGTGTGTGTGTGTGTGTGTGTCGTTCCCACAGGTATGTTTTCATGGTGTGTGGTGTCTGGTTGGATGATGGTGGTAAGTGATAGTGAGTGATGGTGGTAGTGGTGTTGTTGGTAAATAATGGTGATAGTCCATTTTCTTCTTCTTCTTCTTCTTCTTCTCCTCCTTCTTCTTCCTTCTCCTCCTCCTCCTCCTCTCAATTCTGGGTCAATTACTGTGAAACTTAACAGCCATCTACCGTGATCCAACACACTCTGGGCTCGGAGCTTTAACACCCACTTGGTATTTAAGTCTTTTTTTTTAATGATTCACTCGGAGGTCAAAGGTCATACACCCCCACTTAAACACGTATATACCTGTATATATTTGACCTCGTTAGGGGGAGACGTGTGTGTGTGTGGTATAACCTAAGAGGAAGATGTAAATTAAATGAAATAACGTTAGATACACCTGCTTGGTTAGGTTAGGTTAGGTTAGGTTAGGTTAGGTTAGGTTAGGTTAAATTCGATCAGGTTAGGTTAGCGTTCAGGCGGTTAATCTCCAGGTGCAATAAGCTAGGTGGGGGGGTTTAATCTTCAGGTGATCAAGGCAGCGTTAAGTTAAGCATCCCAGGTGTTGACTCCGCCTCCTCACGCCCTGGGATGATGACTACCAGTACCACCACCTGTAGATACTCACCTGTAACTACTTATACTTACCTGTAGTTACTTATACTTACCTGTGGTTACTTATGCTTACCTGTAGGTACTTATACTTACCTGTAGTTACTTATACTTTACTTAAATATGGGTTGGAGGACATGTAATACTTTTAAGTGTGGGGTGAAGGATACGAGTTACTTATAATTTATTTTACTTAATGTGTGTAGTGGTGGTAGTAGTGGTAGATGCGGTGGTGGTTGTAGGTGTGATGGTGGTAGTGGTGGTAGGAGAACTGATTGTCGTAGTGTCATGACAGTAGAACACACACACACACACACACACGTGCCCTCACAGTGTCCAGGGTGTCTTAGAGGTACAATCAGTCAGTCATCTTCTTTATACAAACAAATCTATGGTAATATTGTGGTAGAGTTGTGGTAGTGTGGTGCTAGTGGTGTGGTTGGTGTGGTAGTGTGGTGGAAGTGTGGTGCTGGATGGGATGATGGTTGGTGTGGTAGAGTTATGGTAGTGTGGTGATGGTGTGGTGGTAGTGTGGTAGGCTGGTGGTATGGACAGACAGACAGACAGACAGACAGACAGACAGATAACTAATATATGACACCTTTATTTAATACAAACTCAAATGAAATACACACACACACACACACACACACACACACACACACACACACACACACATACATACCTACATAATCCAGGTGTAGCCACAAATTAGTACAGGTAAATAAATATATAATGAGCAATGCAGAAAGGTAACGTGCGTGTGTAAGGTGTAATTATATATTCTTGTCAACAACAAACTCGAAATGTTGAAACTGACCAGAAATTATATTATTTTGTGGTGTGTGTGTGTGTGTGTGTGTGTGTGTGTGTGTGTGTGTGTGTGTGTGTGTAGTAGTAATACATACATACATACATACATACATACATACATACATACATATATACATACATACATATACCATCAAAATACACAAACAAACAAACTGACAGACAGATAAATACATCCATACACCTCCAACGGGGTTAATGAACGATAATAAAACACGTAAACAAATAAACAAGTAAACAAACAAAATATTATTGTTTACCTCCGTTTTATCAATTTTCAGCCCGACTCAAAATTTTGGGATAAATATTTCACCGATGACAAAATCCTTGAAATCGGGTCCAGAAATCTGTCCACTTAGGATTGTTTGGTTTAATAAATCGGGTGGTAGGGTTTAGGGGAGGGGATTTACCTGGTTTAAATCCAATGGTTTATATAGAATTTTTTTTTCCACGTCTGTTTTATTTTAATTTTTTTTAGGAGGATTTAATTAATTACATTTCATAATTACTTTTTTCCCCGATTAATTGTTTATTGTTTCATGATGTTGAGTTAATTATTATTGTTGAATTAAATGTTTAGGAATGTTAATTATGTTTTATAAGTAAATATATAACAGTTACTTATAATTGAATAAGTTCATTATATAATAGATAGACTTATAATAATTACACACTTAGACTTATAAAGCAATTAAGTGCGTGAGAGACATATCAATAAGTAAACACACAGGTAAGTACGGTCAAATACATTAATAAGTAGATTATAAGTAGGTTAAGAGGTTAGAATCAATTAAGTATAAGTAGTTAAACGGGTAACTTATATATATATATTAGTGGATCAGGATGAGTTAAGTACACGCACCTAACTAATTAAATAGTAAAAGGTACTAATTAGTCATAGTCAACTACCTGAGAACTGGACTAATGAGAGAGAATTAACCTGTCGGGGCACTCAGGTGAAAAAAAGAGGAGGGGAAGAGGGGGGGGGGGGGGGGTTTATGAGCCAAGAGTTGTGCCTAGTTTCGTAAAAATCGTCCCAAGTCATTTCAGAGTTTTTCCAGTTGTGGTGATGTAAGTGTGTGCTGGGGTCTAGTGGGCCTTGTTTGTGTGTCCCATTGGGCCCCCAGTCCTAACAGGCCGCAGTTCTAATGGGTCTTAGTTTTAATGGGGCCTAGTTTTAATGGGGCCTAGTTCTAATGGGGCCTAGTTTTAATGGGGCCTAGTTTTAATGGGACCTAGTTCTAATGAGTTCCAGTTCTACTAGGCCCCAGTTCTATTGGGTCCCAGTTGTAATAGGATAGAGGCCTAGACTAATAGGCCTCCGTGTAATGGGCCGCATCAGTAGTGGGGCTCTTTGGGCTACTACCCTTACTAGTGGTGTCTGTATTTATGGGTTGGCAGCGTGTGTGTGTGTGTGTGTGTGTGTGTGTGTGTGTGTGTGTGTGTGTGTGTGTGGTAAACATGTGACCCCCCTCCCCCCTGCCTGCTATTGACCTACACCTCTTCCCTGACTTTTATATAAACTAGTTCACTTCATTTTGAAAATAGTCCACTAAGTTGTGTTGTTTTTGAGTGCCAGGTAGTGCCACTAGGTTGTGTTGCCGGGGATGCCAGTAGGTTGTGTTGCTGTGGGTGCCAGTGGGTTGTGTTGCCGGGGGTGCCAGGTAGTGCCACTAGGTTGTGTTGCCGTGGGTGCCAGGTAGTGCCATTTAGTTTGTGTTGCCGGGGGTGCCAGTGGGTGTGGTGCCAGGTAGTGTCACTAGGTTGTGTTGCCGGGGTGCCAGTAGGTTGTGTTGCTGTGGGTGCCAGTAGGTTGTGTGTGTGCCGTGGGTGCCAGGTAGTGCCAGTAGGTTGTGTTGCTGTGGGTGCCAGTAGGTTGTGTTGCCGTGGGTGCCAGGTGGGTGCCAGTAGGGGTCGGGAGAGTGGTAGTGCCCAGAATAGCTCACTGGGCAGACAGCTTCGCCAGAATAACTGCTTTGCATTGCTGAGCTAATCAAGAAATTTCTATATAAGAATACTTACCTACTGCCCTCACCCTTACCTTCCCCCTCACCTCCCTCCTCCTACTCCCCCTCACCTCCTACCTCCTCCCTCACCTTACCTCCCCCTCACCTCCTTCCCCTCACCTCCTTCCTCTCCCTCACCTCCTACCTCCCCTCCCCTCACCTACCTCCCCCCTCCCCCCACACCCTCTTGTTAACCATAGCTGCCTGTAGTGACGAACCATTAAGGGCAGTGCGGATATAGTACACTGTAGACCATGCCCCCTTTTTTTTCACTGTAGACAATGAAGCAGTGAGATCGGCACTGAACTTGACCACCTTCACTTCCCAAACCTTAAAGTTATGTAGCCAGTTGGTTATGTTTGGTTAGGTTAGGTAAGATAAGCGTCATCAATGAAACTATAATTGCAGCACAGGTGTGGTGGAGGATTGACAGGTGTGCTGGAGGGCTGGCAGGTGTGTTGGGGGGCTGGCAGGTGTGTTGGGGGGCTGGCAGGTGTGTATGTCCCAGGATTATTATTGGGATAGGGCAGGTGAGAGAGAGAGAGAGAGAGAGAGAGAGAGAGGACACACCTTACTACACTACACTACTTCGTTGCAAGTTGCAAAATTAGCAACGAGAGAGAGAGAGGAACCAAATGATACCACCTACAGCAACACACCCCATCAGGATGTTTTACCCCCTGACAACCATAAAATACCCCAGAGGACCCCCAGAGGACCCCCAGATAGGTGAAACAATACCAACATACCCAGAGATGACATAAAAATCAGGGTGGTATTTGCCTGTTGTGAATTGTGGTTGTGGTTTGAGTTTTGGCGTGGCGTAGTGGGCGCGGTGTGGTAGAGATGGCGTGTGGCGTGGTGGGGGCAGTGTGCGCGGGGCAGGGCGTGGGCAAGGTGGTGGGGCATTCACGACGTACCCACCGTAAGGATCTCTTCTTAGATACAGTCATAACAGTAGTGAAGTGTTCTTGATGGACGTGTGTGTGTTGTCATCTTGAGGTGATGTGGTTTGTGTGGTGTCCGTGATCTGTGTGGTATATGTACGTGATTTAGTGCAACTGTACGTGATTTAGTGCAACTGTACACTATTTAGTAGGCCTATAATTGATTTAGTAGGCCTATAATTGGTTTAGTACATCCGTACATGACTCGGTGAACTTTGTTTATGCTTCAGTAAACACGTATACATGATGAAGTGATCTGCGTCCGTGATAAATCGGGACCTGTACGTAGAAAATGGCCTCTGTACCATATAAATTCTGGGAAAAATGGCGTCAGTACTCGCAATGACTCTGAACACCTAACCTAACCTACCCTAACCTCAACCCAATCTAACCTAACCTAACTTGACCTAATCTAACCTAACCTAACCTACATGAATTAGGAAAATGAAGTGGATTGGTGTTTTACAAGGTCACGCCCCCTGCCTTATGTTGACCTATGACTATCGCCTTATTGCCTCTATGACCTATGGTGACCTTTGACTTATGGCCTGTGACCTGTGGTGACCTTTGACTTATGGCCTGTGACCTGTGGTGGTTACATTTGACTTATGATCTTGAATTATGGCCAGTGACTTATGGCCTATTCTGACGAATGACCTCAAATTAAAAGCAAGAATTATCTCTCTCTCTCTCACACACACACGGGGTTAAAAATAGAGTTGTAGTGAAACTTGACACAGAGTTTACCTTGAGGCGGTCGTGTTTGTGCCAGTGATGGGGGCACGGGGCACACTTCAGGGTACGGGGCACACACTTCAGGGCACGGGGCACACACTTCAGGGCACGGGGCACACTTCAGGGCACGGGGCACACTTCAGGGCACGGGGCACACACTTCAGGGCACGGGGCACACACTTCAGGCACGGGGCACACACTCAGGGCACGGGCACACTTCAGGGCACGGGGCACACACTTCAGGCACGGGGCACACACTCAGGGCACGGGGCACACTTCAGGGCACGGGGCACACACTGTGGGCACGGGGCGCCACACTTCAGGCACGGGCACACTTCAGGGCACGGGGCATACCCCAGGGCACGGGGCACACACTTCAGGGCACGGGGCACACACTTCAGGGCACGGGGCACACTTCAGGCACGGGGCACGCACTTTGTGGCACGGGGCACACACTTCAGGCACACAGGCACACTTCAGGGCACGTGGGGCATACACTTCAGGGCACGGGGCACACACTTCAGGCAGTACGGGGCACACTTCAGGGCATGGGGGGCACACACTTCAGGGCACAGGGCACACATTTCTAGGTCACGGGGCACACTTCAGGCAGAATACACGGGGCACACTTCAGGCCACGGGGCACACACTTCAGGGCACAGGGCTTATGATACGGGGCAGTGGGGAAGAGACATGGATTTTGGGGAATGTGATAGGGTCTTGGGGCATGGGGCATGGGGCATGGTCTTGGGGCACGGGGCATGGTCTTGGGGCACGGGGCAAGGTCTTGGGACACGGGGGAAAGGTCTTAGGGTACAGGGTAGGTGTAGTGGTGGTGTTAGAGGACTACATAGCCAAGAGGGGGGGGGGTCAACTGGTCATCTCTTGTTGATTAGTAATTGGATCGCTTTTGTTACAGTGTTTTTTGTTATTGTTTTTGTCGAGTGTAATTGTTGTGTTTGTTCTCTATTTGTTATGTATCGTTGTTGTTATTAATTTTATTATTATTATTATTATTATATCAATATTTTAGAGGCTCACCTGTACCGTTTAATTAAGTGCAAACACACCTGTACACTAATTACGTCATGCACACTTGACTTCCTGGACTAAATTACAGTCAGAAAATAAATATATTACAGTGATAAATTACAGCAAAGAAAAATGTGATAAATTATGATAAACGAAGCATTGAAAATAACTGAATAATGTAAGGAATTACTAAGTGAATCTGTGTTAGTGTACATTACGAGACACCCAGGGAATATTTCTGGTCTAGTCTCATCTTATTTCGTCCGCCATGTTGGGTTTTGGTGAGGCATGGGTGTGGTTGTGGGTGTGGTTATGGGCGTTCCTTATAGCCACACTACCCACAGTCACACTGCAAGAGACTCCATATGCTGACCCGCTAGGTAAGTTGATGTTATTGTTGTTGTGTTGCAGGTGAAAGAAAGTTGTAATTATGTAACTTTTCTTAATTTTGTCTTAATTTTACCAGTTACTGAAGTGGGTGCCAAGTTGTCAGGAATTGTGATTGATGTTGTTCTGTTATATACCTTTATCATGTGTAGTGTGTTGATATAGTGGCGTTTTAGTGAGTTTATTATTATTATTATTATTATTATTATTATTATTATTATTATTATTATTATTATTATTATTATTGTTATTATTATTTTTTTATTATTTTTTTTTCTGCTCTGTGTGTGTGTGTGTCTGTGTGTGTGTGTGTGTGTGTGTTTGGAGACAGACAGACAGACAGACAGACAGAACAGTACATATCTGTCTACCTAACACACCTGTCTTCTGTTGTTTACCTGTTTAAGTTGGCGCGACACTGACATATTGGTACACACACACACACACACACACACACACAGAGTCATGTCAGCTTTGACCGTTGACATGCCCCACAAAACCTCAGACATAACTGGTGAGGAGGAGTGTTGGTGTTGTCAGTAGGTGTTGTCAGTAGGTGTTGTCAGGTAGGTGGTGTCAGTAGGTGTTGTCAGTAGGTGTTGTCAGTAGTGTGTTGTCAGGTGGTGGTGGTGTCAGTAGGTGTTTTCAGCTGCCAACACCCACAGGCTGAAGAATCACAGGTGTGGAGGTGTGCCAAGACCAGGTTATAACTATCATCACCTGTAGTCAACATCAGGTAAAGGTGCTGTAACCTGACCTAACCTAACCTAACCTAACCTAACAGCCTGACCTAACCTGACCACAGCCTGACCTGACCTGACCTAACCTGACCTGACCTAACCTAACCTCATTCACTTCATCATCTAAGTTCACTAACGACTATGGGCATATTCTGTCTTATTAAATCACTATGACAACCCGTAAAGCTGCTGGTCACATCAAGAGGTCAAAGGTCAAGGTCACCACCAAGTACGTATAAATCTGTCGGAATTAAAACTGGATTATTGATTGGCTGCAGCTTATCTGTCTCCACCAATCAGGGGCGATTCGTTGGTTACAGCTGGTCCCTCTCCACCAATCATATGAAAAGACGCCTGGTTGTAGATGGTCCCTCTTCTACACCAATCAGGAGAGAGATAGTGGTAGTAATGGTGGTGATAGTGGTAGTAATGGTGGTAATGATGGTGATGGTGGTAATAGTGGGTAGTAATGGTGGTAATAGTGGTAGTGATAGTGGTAGTGATGGTGTTAAAGTTGGTGATAGTGGTAGTGATGGTGTTAATGGTGGTGATAGTGGTAGTAATGGTGGTAATAGTGGTAGTGATGGTGTTAATGGTGGTGATAGTGGTGATAGTGGTAGTAATAGTGGTAGTGATGGTGTTAATGGTGGTGATAGTGGTAGTAATGGTGTAGTGGTGATGGTGTTAATGGTGGTGATAGTGGTAATGTGGTAATATTGATGGTGGTGGCAGCAGGGGAAGGTTGCCAGGTCGTGTTATTAATCCACAATGTTTTTCCACCACAACTATTTCTAGTCCTCCAATTATCTTCCTCCTCCTCTTCCTGCTTCTCTTCCTCCTCCTCCTCCTTCTTCATTTCCTTCTCCGTCTTGTTCTCCCCTCCTCTCCCACTCCTTCTCTTCCTCCTCCTCTTATCTCTTGTCCTCTCTTCCTCCTCATACACTTATCTTCTTCCTTGTCCTCCTCCACACCCTCCTCCCACCTCCTCCTCCACCCTCCTCCACCCTCCTCCTCCACCCTCCTCCTCCACCCTCACCCTCCTCCTCCTCCACCCTCCTCCTCCACCCTCCTCCACCCTCCTCCTCCACCTCCTCCTCCCACCCTCCCACCCTCCTCCTCCTCCACTCCTCCTCCACCCTCCTCACCCCTCCTCCACCCCTCCTCCTCCACCCTCCTCCTCCACCCTCCTCCTCCTCCACCCCTCCTCCCCACCCTCCTCCCTCTACCCTCCTCCTCCACCCTCCTCCCACCCCTCACCTCCTCCTCCCCCTCCTCCACCTCCTCCACCTCCTCCCACCCCTCCTCCACCCTCCTCCTCCACCCCTCCTCCTCCACCCCTCCTCCCACAAAATACCATTGACCTGCCCTTTAATATCTTCTCTCCCGTTAAAGTCAGCCTTGACCTAGTGAGAGAAAAAGGCAATGAGAAAGTAGGCAAGTGAAAGATGTGGGAGAGAGGGAGCAGAGAGAGTTTATATATGGTTTACTTGCGTCTCTCTCTCTCTCTCTCTCTCTCTCTCTCTCTCTCTCTCTCTCTCTCTCTCTCTCTCTCTTGTACATCTCCTCAGCGCTTATTACATTATGTGTTATCTGGCATTACTGGTGTGTGTGTGTGTGTGTGTGTGTGTGTGTGTGTGTGTGTGTGTGTGTGTGTGTGTGTGTGTGTGTGTGATAGATAGATAAACATTGCACACAAGACCCACTCACCCGGGACACTGGCGGGGTACTGTCATGTACTTCCCTACTTCCCTTCAGATGCGGGGAGACAGCCCTCCACCTCCCTCCTCCTCCTCCCCTCAAGGGCGTCTGGCGGTAGTGGGGGAAGGGGGGAGGTGCCGCTAGGAGTTAGGGTGTGTGGCTGGGGGTGAGGGGTGGTAGTGGAGGGGGTGAGTGGGTAGTGTTGGGAAGGGTGGTAGTGGTGAGGGTGAGGGTGAGTGGTGGTAGGGGGTGGGGTGGTAGTGGTGAGGGGTGAGGTGTTGGTGTGTGGGGTGTGAGGGTGGTGGTGAGGGGGGTGAGGGGTGGGTGGTGGTGAGGGTGGTAGTGGTGGTAGTGGTGAGGGTGGTAGTGGTGAGGGGGTGGGGGTGTGTGGTGGTGTGGGGAGGTGGTGTGGTGGTGGTGAGGTGAGGTGGGTGGTGTTAGGGTGGTGAGTGGTGAGGTGGGTGGTGGTAGTGGTGAGGTGGGTGGTGGTGAGGGGTGAGGGTGGTAGTGGTGAGGGTGGTGTGGGGGTGAGGGTGGTGGGGTGAGGGTGGTGGTGGTAGGGGTGAGGGTGGTAGTGGTGAGGTGGGTGTGGTGGTGGGGTGAGGGTGGGTGGTGGTGAGTGGTGGGGTGGGTGGTGGTGGGGGTGAGGGGGTGTGGTGGTGGTGGGGTGGTGATGGGGTGTGGTGGTGGTGGGGTGGTGAGTGTGGGTGAGGGGGTGGTAGTGGTGAGGTGGTGAGTGGTGAGGGGTGGTAGTGGTGAGGGGTGGTGGGGTGGTATGGGGTGGTGAGACAGCTCGGTTCCCTCATCAGAACAAGACAACATCTTCCCTCACTCGTCCTCAACAGATAATTTGACAGGAGTGCCTCCCAGTTGCCACTCATGAGGGTACCACTACACAGGGTGCCACCACTACACAGGGTGCCACCACTACACAGGGTGCCACCATACACAGGGTGCCACCCGCTACACAGGGTGCCACCACTACACAGGGTGCCACCACTACACAGGTGCCACCACTACAGGTGCCACCACCTACACAGGGTGCCACCACCACTACACAGGGTGCCACCACACACAGGGTGCCACCACTACACAGGGGCCCCACACAAGGTGCCACCACTACACAGTGCCACCACTACAGGGTGCCACCACTACACAGGGTGCCACCACTGCACAGGTGCCACCACTTACAGGGTGCACCACTACAGTGCCCCCCACTACACAGGGTGCCACCACTACACAGGGTGCCACCACTACACAGGGTGCCTACAGGGGTGCCACCACTACACAGGGTGCCACCACTACACAGGGTGCCACCACTACACAGGGTGCCACCACTACACATGAACAGCATTATAAAGTTTTGTGTCGTAATTTGGAAACGAATAAACTTTGAACATTATTTATATCCGACTGTGAGAATAACTCGTTTTAGCTCTCTCTCTCTCTCTCTCTCTCTCTCTCTCTCTCTCTCTCCTACCATCTACTATTAACTATCTTATCACTTACCACTACCAAGTATTATCTATCTACCACCTACCACAACTTCCATTTCCTCTACCACCACAATCAAACAATCCCGTAACATCTCTACCACCCATAACCGCCAACAACCACCACCCTACCACTACCAGCACCTACCACTACCACCTACCACCACCTCCCCACCTACCACCACCTACCTCCCACCTACCCTCCCACCACCACTCCCACCACCACTTACCCACCACCACCTACCACCACCACCTACCACCACCACGCCCACCACATACCACCACCACCACTCCCACCTACCACCTACCACCACCACCCCTACCACCACTACCACCGTCACCCACTACCACAGCTAACACACACACATCCGCCATTCATCCTGCTCTACCGTGTGAGCAGCCTGGTGGTGTGAGGCTGACCTGTGCCTCCCCTCCCCCGTTCTTCCCCTTCCTCCCCTCCCTTCTTCCCCCTTCCCTCCCCTTCCCCTCCTCTCTTTATCCCTCACCCCTTCCCTACCACTTCCCCTCACTCCCAACCTCTCTCCCCTTCCCACAACCTCCTTCCCCCTTCCTTCCCACCCCTCCCCCCTACCCCTCCCCACCCCCTCACAGCTATGATTCCCAGCACGTCTTCCCAGCAGCTAGGATTAGTTTTTCCTAGTGGTGTGTGTGTGTGTTGTGATGATGAATGAGGCTTTTATTGTTGTTATTGTTGGGGTAACCTAACCTAACCTAACGTTTACCGTGATATTAATTAATTGATTGAAAGTAAGTGACGTCACGGGTGAAGGCGTTTCTGCTCTGTCTGTCCGTCCGTCCGTCTGTCTTAACTAGATTTGACTAACGATTTTTTTTTAACTGGTGCACGGTTAAATACCAATATTACTGCTTTAATCCTCTTACTAACGCTCATTAAGATTAAACCTATTTAGTGGTGTTAGCGCGTGGACAAGATAGTTGCACCACGGACGCACACACACACACACACACGGAGAACACGCACGGACGGACTTCTCTCATGTAGGATAAGAGGCTCTGCATCATGGTCCTAATGAGGGGAGT